GAGCAATGCCAGGAGTAATTTCTGAGTGTAGGGTCAGGAATAACCCCTGTGCATCACTGGGTGTGACCCAAAAAAGCAAAAAAATAAATAAATGAAATAAAATCCTAATTCTTTGGTCTATTCCTCATCACATGACTTAGTCTTGTGCCTCTTACCTTTGCTTTCTCCTATTCTCAAGGCTCCTGTGGTGAAGGAGGGAGAGATTAAGACTTGTTGAGAATCTGTTGTGGATATGGCACTCTGCAAGGAACCACCTTTATTGACTATAAAAGATACATGACAGCCTTGGTCCCCCTGAAGAGAAATAATTTCAGGCAGGTTAAGTGACTCATCTGATACATCCAATCACTACTATGTTCACTGCCTATAACTTAAGACAGTGACTTACATGATAGTTTCTTTATTTCTCATAAAATACATCAGAAATAGGATGTTTCAGGGCTGCCATGGTAGCTCCACAGTGTAATCAGGGACCTGTACTTCTATTTTATGCTCTACCCCACTATCCTAGAATGAAGTTTCCTCCTCAAGGCTGCCTCTTGATCCAAGGTGGCTGCCAGAATTCCAGCCATCCAGTCCATATTTCAGCCATCACAAAGGAGAAGGAAAAAGAAGGGCAAACTCTTTCCTTGAAGGAGTCTTTCAGAAGTCCTAGGGGGAAAACAAAAACCTTCTACCTTTCTCATTTGCAAGACAGACTCCAAGCTGGACCTAGCTACACGGGAGACCGGGAAATGTTTATTTCCATCTGGGTGGCAAACATACCTAGAGTAGGGTCACCAGGGGAAAGGGGGGTTATGGGAGCTGCCATGGCCCACGAGTCATCTCCCAGCTAGAAAAGGTGGGACCAAGGTTACATCAAGCCAGTGCCCTCTTGCTGTGGCCCTCCCCAAACCCTGAGATCCCTCCTCCCCTGACCCTTGGTCAAGCTGTCTCCTCCCGCACTGATGCAACTTCTGAGGAAGCAGAAAGGAATAGGAGTTTGGGGGGCTGTAGAGGAGCAGAGAGACAGCAGTGCTGTGAAGCCCGACTCCCAGGGAGAGTTTCGGCCTGTCCACAGTCCCTCCTTTCCTCCTCTCAAGAGCCCAGAGCTCCCTACAGACGCCACATTCTTTGTCACAGAGACCCAGCGAGCTGGGCACAGCTTCTCCTGGATCGTCTCCCCTGGTCTGTGTTTGCTCCGGTTCCGCTGTGTTGATTAAACAGTGAAGGGTGAGCCCAGAAGCTCCTGGCCAGCAAACACAACAAATCTCTTCCAAGTGCTGTTGGCAGTGGGCTGGGGCCACCTCTGAGGTCCCCCATGAGGGCTGCGATTCCTGGGCTGTGTGAACAGCTGCAGCTGATGCTCTGGTCCAGCGCTGGGTCTCGGCAGGGTATGTGCCTCCAGAGAAGAATGTCCTTCTCGCAGACGCTGAGCCACGATCAGTGCCCACCAGGGAAACCTGCCTCAGGCATGGGCCCTGGAGCATGAAAGAAGCCCAGCCTGGAGATAACAGAGCCCAAGTAGAATGGGGGTGGGAGCTTCAACAAGGAAGAAGAGCAGGACTGCAGAGTTGGAATGAGCGCCCAGATATTCTGGAAACCTCTTGTGTGTGCCCCACATAGGGAATTCCAACGGGAAGGGGCTGCTGGCAAGGTAGGGGGCGCATTCTACCCCCGTCGGAACCCCTGTGCGCCTGGATGCATGCCCGGTGCCAGAGACAGGCATGTGGAAGGGGACCCTGGGAGAAAGCAGTCCACATGATGTTGCCTGACTATCACTCCTACCAGGACTGACCATTACACCAAGCTCACACTCTCCCAGAGCCAGACACTGGCGCCCTGGCCCTCAGCTTGTTGTCATGGCCTCCATCTCTTATTTAGTTGAGGACCTTCACTAGGAAAGGTCCCCAGGAGTTCTCTGATCTCATGGCTCATTTCCAACAGAGGAAACTAAGGTCCAAGCTGAAGTACCAGATTTGTGGGTAAGAATGGTGAGACCATCACCCCTGGATCTCCCAATGACCATGGGTTACTGAAAACCCACTCTAGCCAGAGTCCATTAAGAATTGGGTGTGCAAGTGTTTGGCATTCTCATGCACCCCTGGGTCCTGGCATTAGTGCAGCAGCCCCTACCGGGTCTACTGGATGTGCCAGGCAGACACAGATGCAAGCAATGTTTCTGGTCTCTCGAGAACATCCACCAAGAGGCTCTTCTTGCAGGCTAGCTGGGAAAGTTGGCTGGTGGCTAGGCCACAAAAAGGGATGAGAGCTTTATCAGTGCTGGGCCACCCACACCCCCAGAACAGTTGGTCAATAGGCGCAAGTGTCCAGGAGCAGCCGAGCCTGGGAAAGAGCTTGACCCATGAAATCCAGGCAGGGCCAGGTTCTGAGAGAGGCCAGAGAGAGGCTCCCTCACAGTTTAGCAAGATTCAAGGGCCAATATATGTCACACTCTAATGCAATGCTCCAAAAAGAATCCCACCAGTCCACGACAACCATATATCAAAATGTTCCAAGAAGACAAGATCTGAGCTTTCACAGCAGGGAATGCCCTCATCTTGGTGCTGTCTTCCTGTCTTCACGGAACTTTTTGTTCATCATAAATAGTTTTGCATTTGAGTGTTACAAATTAATGTGGTGTTAACACATTAGACAAGAAAATAAAAAGAAAAAACCACCTTCATCACTGAAGTTTTGGGTGTCCTCTTATATTTGGGCCCTGGGGCCTGGCTGTCGTGGATCTGTGAGTTATAACTGGAAGATGCTGGGGGCTGAAAGGGGCATCTGCCAGGATGTGGTTATCTCCAGCAGGACCTGTGGGTGTGTGGGGAGTGAGGGGGTGCATTTTGAGGGAACTGGAGGGAATGAGGGGAGGTGTGTGCTCAGCAGCTGGGAAGGGCTGGAACTGGCCTCCAGGCTCTGAGCACCTTGTAATCTGGAATAATGTAGGAAATTTTTTTCTCTCAACTCCATGAGGGCAGGAATGGGGCCTCCTGCAAACCTGGAAACTGCTCCAAGCAGAGAGCCTAATTCTGTGGCCCCTGGGGGCACCCAGGAGCCAGGCAGTAGCCCCCGCCATGCTGAGTGGGTGCCCAAGTTGGCATGTACAAAGCAGATACAGACTCAAAAGACTTTTCTGGCATCTCAAGAACTTCCACCAGCGACTCTTGCTAGGTTGGAGTCTCACCAGAAGAGGTGGGACGAGAGGGGCCTTCACCATAGGATGAAGTGAACATCCCAGAAAAGCCCTTAAGTGTCCCATTCAGGGGCACAGCAATCTGGGGGGCTGTCAGCCCCCTCACTAGCCCCCAGCTTAAAAAAAACATTAAAAAGGAAACCCAGAGATCTGTGGAATGGTGTTGTCAGGTTGAGCTTCCTCAAAAAATAGAATGCACAAAGAAATTATTTCTCCCAAATGCTTTCCAGGCCCATAGCTCTCCACCCTGGTCCCAGCCATGCTTCTTGGAATGTTCTGGAGTCTTCCTGTGGTGGCTCATACCCTGTCACGTGTCTCCACAGCTCTGCTGTGTGATCATGTCCATCACTGTTTTTTCTCAGTCCCTTGGCTTACATAATGCCCTGTCTGTCATCAAGGGACTTTTGCTTGGTTTCTGTGTTTCTACAAAATTCATACTATTTTTAAAGTATAGGGAACCCCTGAATTTGAGACTCTTTTAATAAAGTGCCAACTTCAACACCTTTCAAAAATAACACTTCCTGAAATAAAAAAAAGCTGCAGTTACTCATTATTCAGCATCTCCCAAACTTTTCTTTTATACTCATCGATTTCTTTTTGTGTGAAAATAGTGTCCCCCTTCCCAACATTTTCTAACCAGAAAGTTTTCCCACCATCTCTGAGGTGTTGGCATGATCTAAAGCATTGTTTACAGAATGTGTTTCTAATGATTTGCCATTTGGGAGAACAAATTCATACATCATTCCTGTAAAATATAATCAAATATATATATATATTTGATTCCATTCCTATGAAGCTTACTCTTTAACCAAGGGCTATCTGAGCTGAGGAACAGGAAAGAAGATATGTTTGGTTGTACTGAAGTTGTCCAGGTGGTTAGAACTGAGGTCCTGGGGGTAACTCTCTTTGCGTTCCAACTGAGGGCTCCTGTTCCCTGATTCCTGATTGCTCTTAGAGAAATGAAGGTTTAGGAAACACCTTCATACTGCCTCATTCCCTGGGTCTTTCAGAAGCCCCTCGAGATAGACAGGGCAGGGATAAGAATGGGAAGAAGTTGGGGGCTGAAGTGATAGAACAGCAGGTAGAGCAGTTTCTTTGCACACACAGGTAACTCAGCTTGTTCGATCCCCGGCATCCCAGAGTCCCCAGAGCACAGCCAGGAGTGATCCCAGAGTGCAGAGTCCAGGAGTTAGGCCTGAGTAGCGTCCGGTGTGGCCCAAAAACAAACACAACAAAACAAAAACAACAGGAAGACGCTGGGTCCTGTCCCAGTGACGGGGGTGGAGGGCACCACACAGCAGCTCTGCCCCCAGCCCTCTCTGAACCCCAGAGGAGCATAGGTCATCAACCTATGACCCCTCACTCCATCAACGAGGAAAGGGAGAGCCTGGCACTGGAGCACAGGGCCACAGAAACAGGTGCCTGGCTGGTTGACAGCCCACAGCTCCCCACACTGAGTGAAGCAGCCTTTTCTCTCCCGGGCAGACTGGCACAGGACTTAGCCTCAGCAGAGGCCTCCCGAGGGACCTGACAGAACAGCCTGGCAGAGTCTGAGGTTGGGGAGAGAGAAGTCATGCCCTCTTCCTCACATGCACTGTGTGTGAAGCATCTCACCTTTGATCCCCATCTTCCGCCAGTCAGGGATGCAGGAGAAGACTGGGAGGGAGGCTCAGAGAGGTCAAGTGATGGGCTGACACTCACATGGCAAAGACCAGTACTAGATCGAGGCAATTGGGGCCCAGATCACCTGGTCAGATGACCAAAGGAGAACAGGCGGGGTGGGGCGGGGGTGGTGGCCAAAGGGGCGGGACAAGGCACTGACCTTTCCTGAGATGGTCTTGATCTGCTTGGAGCTCAGGGGCTCAAAGTCCACACCGATGTAGCCCTCCATGGCTGCGAGCAGGTTCCTCTGGAGACAGTGGGAGGAGTTGGCCTCCGTGTGCACCTGCTCCCACCACAGAGGCTCGTACCAGCCGGGGATGATCCACTGGTATTTGTTGCCGAACATGTTCTCCTCATAAGCCTGCGACAGAGAGAGAACATGCATGTGAAGGCACCGGCTCAGGCTCTGCTCGAGACGGTGCTGTGAAGGAGGGGCAGACGCGTTCCCTCTCCGCTGAGGATTTCCTCTCTCGACTGCTTGCACGCCCCCTCCTTGTAATCTCTCCACGGATCCAAAGTCGTTTAAGCGAGACGTGGATAATAAAATAACAGTACATGACAGAGGAAACAGGACAGCCTGGGAAAATATGAATTATCGTATGTTGGCGGGAGGCAAGGGGAACAGAAAGTAGAAAAGTCCTCCAAAGATTCCAGTCCTCTAGTTAATTAAATGTGTATTTTGCTACTGTTCAAGAGTCAAGGGCAATCAGACTATTTACTTTGATTTATTTTTGTTATCGATAAGAAGTAAACATTGATTTATTTTTATTATTAATAATAAGAAAATATACTAGCTCTTGAGGGAGACAAAATGATTTTGAGGCTTTAGCCTTTTGGGGTGGGGGATAGGATGGGTGGGGGGCAGAGAGATAACACAGCAGATAGGGATCTTGCCTTGCATGTGGATGACCAGGTTTGATCCATGGCACACTACATGGTCCCGAGTGATGCCTGAGGACCAAGCCAGGAGTAATCCCTGATGTGACAGATCCCGATCCCATAGCCATATGTGACACCAAAACAAAACAAAATAAAAGTCTCTTGTCATATTAGTCAGGCTGGCATCAGAACAACAGCACCCCTACTACAAACAGATTTCACAAGGCAACTTTTCCCTATATACTTATGAAAATATGAGACCATACTTTAAAACTTAACCCACCAGGAGCAGTTTTGCAAGTAGCTGGACAATTTGATCTGAGTAAGCAGTGTAGACAAGATGCGATCTGTCAAGCTGAGCAACTTCTCTGGATCTCTACCCAAAGCACAGTGCACATAAATCTAGATCTTAAAAAATTTTTTTCTTGACATTTGTATGACTTAAATTTGTGCGATTCTCATTCACATTTGCTCTGTGAAGTGACCATTGCAGACTTGATTGTCCTCATACTAGTGAAGAGGAGACTGGAAATGAGAGATGGAAATTTAGTTTCCCAAAGTCACACAGCCAGAGAGAAAAGTCAGGCCTGGAAACTAGAGTTTGCTCATTCTAATGTGAAAAGGCACGCTGCTGAAGAAAAAGTCGTCATTTTGTTCTGATGTGTTCATTATTTTGTTTGTTCTTTTGTTTGAGGGCCACATCTGGCCATGTTTAGATGCCACTCTTACATTCTGTGCCAGGGATCAACCCACAAGCTTGCATATCAAGCTTGCGCTCCAGTCCAATGAATTAAACACTCTCCAGCCCCAGATTACATTTTTTTCTTTTGCATTTTAGTGAACTTAAAAAAGGTGGGGTTTTTTTGCTGTTGTTGTTAATTTATATTTTAATTGAATCACCATGAGATAAACAGCTACAAAGTTGTTCGTGATCAGGTTTCCATCATACAATGTTCCAACACCCATCCCTTTACCAGTATACATTTCCACCACTAATGTCCCCAGTTTCCTTCTTGCCTGCTGCCTTGCCCCTGCTTGCCTCCATGGCAGACACTTTTCTCCCAGATTACATTCTTAACATGATGATATTGCACCAGGAAAACCAAAATAGCTCAGCTGCACCCAGAAAACCCCAGCTGGTAAGGGCGTCATCTCCTATCCAAATCAGGTCCCAGATGAAATCTGTGAGTGGACGTCACACTCCCAGCAGGAAGCGAGTCCCTGGAAACGACATCAGGGAGCAGAGGAGACGTCAGGCTCTCAGCACACCAGGATGGACTTGGTGCATTTTTTATTTTTTAATTAATTTTAATTTAAAACACTGTGATTCCCAAAGTTGTTCACTATACAGTTATTTCAGACATTTGCTGTTCCAACACCACCAGTGTGACCTTCCCTCCATCAACATCCCCAAGTTTCTTTCCTAATCCCAACCTGCCCCATTAGGCATGTAACAAATTTACTTTAGCTTGCTTATTCCAGCAAAACTTTACAAATGGCAAATAGAATGCCATTCAGAAAATAAATCAATGATCAGAAAATAAATCAGTAAGAACCAATTTGCAATCCTGACCTATGTAAATAAGAAAGTTAAAACCATTTAATACAATAGAATAAAAGAACTGTGTACTTTTTACTAATTCATTTCCCCACCCCCACCCCCACCCCACTCCTAACAAGGGCGTTTTATTCTTTTCTTTTTGGCATCCTGTTCTGCAGCATCTTTGGTCTCTGGGATGATGCACATTTTAGGATGGGCAGCTGAAACTACCTTGCGATTCATTCCTTGGGGCGCCACCTCCCATAGGGAATGCTGGGTTGGGAACAGGTCAGACCATGCCCTGTGCATTGCTTGGTTTGGACAGAGGCAGCGTGGAGGGTGGAGAATGGCAGGGTGGCTTCTGCAGGAGGCTCAGCAAGGCTCTGGCTGCCCTTCTCCTTAAGTCCCCAGCTGCTTGGGACATTCTGCCCATTTAAGAGTGGACCGGAGCCCCCAAAGACCCCGGACACCAGAGAAAATCTGCTTTTGAGTCTCGGGGGCAAAGGGGGCTCTGCCTTCCATCCTCCTTCTGGGATGGTTCTCACTGGAGGCCCAGGGTGGAGCACCAGGGTAGATGGCAACGAGAACAGTGGTTTCAGTCCCTGAGCAATGGTTCAGTTCACAGGGGAAAAAAAAGTTGGAAAGCACTGAGTTAGAATGTCTGTCCGCAATTCAAGCTCCGATCCCATCTCCATTTCTTCTGCCCATTGGTTCAGCAAAGCCTCTGGAGACTTATTATAAAACCCATGGGGGCCGTTTTGGACATTGTGGTTTGCAATGTTGATACCGAAAGTCAACAAGAATATCCCTTAACCCTCAGATCTTTTTTTTTTAAATTTTATAAACTAGTTCATAACATTTGATTACATTTGATATTCAAACACCAATCCCACCACCATTACACCTTCCTATCACTGTATTTCGGATGTTTCCACCCCCAACCCCAATTCTTGCCCCAAAGCAGAACTGAAATAATTTATTCATTTATTTTGTATTGTCTGTTATGAAAAACTGCTGAAAATGCTCCCAAAAAGTTTCCTTAGAGGAAAGAGTGTGGAGGTTGCTATATTTCACCCAGGGGCCACCAAGCCCTTCTATAAGAGGTCACTAACATGTTGTTAAAGGTTGAGCCTCGTGTGCATGTATATTTATGTGTATATATATAATTATATGTGTGTGTCACTAAAAAATATTTTCTTCTAAGATTGGTTGCCTCCTACTTTAAACCCCATCAAATATGGTGCAGTACTGGATGGGTGGTGTGAGGTATGAGTTGTTGTACAGTCGCATTTGTGGCCATGCGGTCCAGGAATACGTTCATTTGTGGGTGAGGCTTGGCCCAACCATGTGGAGAGCGGCCATGAGCATGGTGGCGATTGAGTTCTGGAGGTTTTAGGCTGCTGGGGCTGGGTCCCTTGGGGTGGGAAGGAGTCTCATTCACCCCCCTCCAGGGTGCCCTGAATGCAACAGCTTGGTGCTGGGTCTGGCAGCATGATTATGGCGTGTGTCAGGTTATAACTCTCAGATCTTGTTCAGCACGATCATTCCCAGCTATTATTCTCATACTGGTTTCTTCTCTATCTTACCTACCCTCTGCCCCACATACCCTTGTGGTAGTTCTAACCACTGACCAGTCTTCCTTTACCCCTGTTTTCCCTGGATAAGGCTACTTTTGAGTAAGTTGAATAGCTAAAACAAACCAGAAAACAGAAAAATATGCTGATATAAAAAGTGCTCTAAATAACAATGCTCACAGTATTTTTATGAATGCTTTAGGAAACATTCTTTCTATACAGTGATTATATTTATCACTAAGCTCTTAATACCAAATTATTTGAATGTTCCACATTCCACGATGTTGTATGTTTTTCACTGCCTGGCATATGTAAAAGGAGTAAATTTTATGTAAAAATTCATTTATTTCTTTAAAAATCTATGATATAGCTAAACTAGACAGCAGGTAGGGTACCTGCATTTACACAGCTGGCCCTAGTCTGAACCCTGACATCCCAGATGGTTCCGAGCACCACAGGAGTGAGCCTGAAGTGCAGAGTCAGGAGTCAGCACTGAGAGCAGCCAGTATAAAACCACACCCCCCAAAACAGTGATACACAGAATACTGAGATATAATTAAAATTCAGGTAACTGACTCAGGTAATTAAAATTGCAAAGCAAATACAAAATGAAAACAAGTCCACGGTATAACAAAAAGCAAATTACCAATAATTTTCAAGAGTATGGTATTTTTCAAAGCAATTAGGTAAATGTACTGGCACTTTCAAAAAGATCTAACAACCTGATATAGATTAATAAAATTTTAAAAAAAAGATGTATGCCACAACCTGGTCTTCTGGAGACAATAAATTGAATATAATTAATAAAAGAAAAAGCCATGGGGGCAAGAGTGATAGTACAGCAGGTAAGGCACTTGCCTTGCATGCAACCAACCCAGACTCAATCCCTGGCATCCCAGATGGTCCCTCCTGAGAACCACCAGGAGTCATTCCTGGGCACAGAGCCAGGACTAACTTCTGAGCATCGCTGGGTATGGCCCCCAAACAAAAAAGCCTTTCCACTATCTTGGAGGCAGTAATCACAGGTCTCTTCTCTAAATGTGAAGATAAAGAACTTTCATCTGCCTCATTCCAGACTTGATACTTATTGTAATATGGCCTTCAAGCAAACTACCTTAAAATATTGCCCTTATCATAATACTATCCCAATCAAACCTGCTGTATAAAAACAAAGAGAGACGTCACATTCAGTGATATAGCAAAGCCCAGTTCAGGGGCCTGAGTGATAGTACATCGGGTAGGGTGTTTGCCTTGCACGAAGCTGGCCTGGGTTCGATCACCGGCATCCCATATGGTCCCCCAAGCACTGCCAGGAGTAATTCCTGAGTGCAGAACCAGGAGTAACCCCTGAGCATCTCTGGGTGTGACCCCCCCCCCCCCAAAAAAGCAAAGCCCAGTTCAAGCAAAGCAGGCCGTATTCTATGTTTCCCTCTAATGAAAAGGGTGTATTCTACCACTCTACCCTCACCTTACCCCATGCAAGAATAATTCCTAATCCTGGCTAGGGACCAGACCTTTGGACAAAGGGTCATCCCATGATCCTTGGTCCAGGGGGTCCAGATTTAATGATCTCAGGGCTCCATGAAAAACAGAATTTCAGCTTGCTTGCTTTCCCGCCCTCCTTCCCACCCCCCCCCCCCCCCGCCCTGAAAGAAACAGCTCTATGGAGTTCTTAATACGTGTACGTGCATGTGCATTTATATACACGATTTTATCTTTGTGTAGGCCTTATGAGGTATGTGTTATTGTCTGCATTTCACAGATGTCATACAATTGAGGCTCAGAAATTGAGGCATTTTATCAAGCCCAAACAGTGAAATCAAGGAGACAAGATTCAAAATCCATTTTTGAATTCACCTCTCAGCAGAACAAAGCAAAACTTGGGAGGTAACTTTCTCCGTCTGACCAGCTGGAGGCAAGAAGATATTAGGGAACCAGGTGGTCAGATGCTGAGGCTATGTGGTCTTCTGGTCAACCACAGAGCGAGCCACATAACTCTCGAGGGCAGAGACGCGGTTACTCGGGATGCTGCGAGAGCAGCATCTTCTGGCCCTGGTCTGTGTGAGCGAATTTCCCAGAAAACACAGCGGAATCCATTGTTCGTTTGGTTTGGCTTTAGGGCCACACTCCTTGGTGTTCAGAGCTTCCTCCGGCTCTTTACTCAGGGATGACTCATGGGATTGTATGTGGTGCTCGGAATCAGAGCCAGGACGCTGTATTCAAGGTAGGACAAAACCTGCCGTATGATCTCACCAACCCTAGGTTGGTCCATTTGAATGAGAGCACACTGCATATAAGACATTAGTCAATTGCAATGGAGATAAAGTCCATCAGTATCCCCTCCCTCCCTCCCTCCCTCCCTCCCTCCCTCCCTCCCTCCCTCCCTCCCTCCCTCCCTTCCTTCCTTCCTTCCTTCCTTCCTTCCTATGGAACCAGGTTTCCTTTAGGACAGGTTTTATGACAGAGCCACATCTCTGGCCCTGACAACTGATCTTTTAGGGAAAAAAATCATATTCCAGCAGCATGATAATTTCTGCCACACAAGGCGAGTCGCTTGCATAAGTGCCTGGGAACGCATTTCTCGCCTCCATGGCTGGAAAGCAAAGCCAATCCTCCTGAGTGGGTAGAAGAATCCAGTGAGGTGTGGTGCACCCCAGGCCTGCCAGGGATGTGCCAGGAGCTCTCCAGCTGTGCCTTCTCACTGTCTCCCTAGGGTCCCTGAGAGTGGTAGTTGACACATCTGTTCCCCAAGCAGTGCTGTGCCCCGGGTTGCTCTGGGCATGGGGAGACTGGCTGACACTAAGAGACCCCAGACCATTTGGGGCTCACATCTTCGGGTTCTTCTCTCCTCTCTGGCACTCCAGGCCAGACAGTGCCTTCTCACCAGCAGGGCCCTCTCCTTGCTCAGAATCAGGGGATTCTCAACGGCCAAGAACTGGGAGCACAGTAGAAGTGACATCTGTACCTATATGTTCATTGCAGCACTGTTTACAATAGCCAAAATCTGGAAACAACCCAAGTGCCCTAGAACACTTTATGACTAGTTCAAGAAACTTTGGTACATCTACACAATGGAATACTATTCAGCTGTCGGGAGAGATGAAGTCATGAACTTTGCTTATAAATGGGCAGACCTGGAGAGTATCATGCTAAGTGAAATGAGTCAGAAAGAGAGACAGACAAAGAAGGACTGCACTCATTTGTGGAGTATAAAACAACATAACATGAGGCTGACACCTAAGGATAGTAGATACATGGGACAGGAAGACTGCTCCATAGCTTGAAACCTGCCTCATGAGCGGAGGGGAGAAGGCAGATGGAATAGAGAAGGGATCACTAAGAAAATGATGGCTTGAGGAACCGGGATGAGAGATGTGTGCTGAAAGTAGATAAAGGACCAAACATGATAACCTCTCAGTGTCTGTATTGCAAGCCATAATGCACAAAAGTAGAGAGAGAGAGAGTATGGGGAACATTGTCTGCCATGGAGGCAGGGAGAGGGTGGGAAAGGGGGGGCTATACCGGGATATTGGTGGTAGGGAATGTGCACTAATTGAGGGATGGGTGTTTGATCACTGTGTGATTGTAACCCAAACATGAAAGCTTGTAACTATCTCACAGTGATTCAATAAAATTTAACAACAACAACAAAAAAAGCCAGGGGCCGGGTGCTATGTGGTGAGCAAGCCAGCAGGTTCAAAGACAAGGACCACAAGTCTTTCACCACCTCGTCCAAAACAGCTGCCAGGAGCCTCCGAGGCCTCTATTCCAAGGTCTCTCTGCTTCCGCAAAACCACAAAGGCTGGAGCTTTAAGTAGCCACGACACTTGTTTGCCTCTTTGGCTGGATGGGCAGATCCTGGAGAATGCAGTGGTACGAAGCAAGCCAGGAAAGCCCCTTCCACGCTGCCCGCTCTCTGGACCTTTACGAGTAATTAAAATTTTTTACAATCTATTTATTGAAAGAAAGCGGGATGGGTTTAGAGAAGCCCCTGGATGGATTCTGTTTGGAGCAAGCAGACTGCAGTGGCAGCGGGCGGCCACCTATGCAATCACTTGGCTCCGCTTGCTCCGTTTTTCCTCCTGCTCCTCCTTTTGGATGGCAATGCTGTTGTTACCCTCAACGGACAGAGGACACATGTGCCATCAGGCAGCAGACACACCTGCCCCGCGGTGGCACATCCTGTCCTCTGTCCCGCATCCCCACTGTGAACTAACGCGGGGTATAGAGTGCTCAGAGCCCAGCCTAATAGGCCGTTTGCCCACTGATGTCATCTTCACTGCCATTTTTTGCTGTCCCACTTTACAGATGAGAAAACCGAGGGTCGGCAGTGAGCTCACATTCTGTCATGGAGGGAGCCGTAGGTTGGGGGTTCAGAGCCAGGCATGCTGAGCCCTGAGCTCAAGGCTTCCCCCGTGGCCCCGGAGATGCCCCACCTAGTAGCCCCCGCCCCTCCCGGAGCTCCGCAGGACCAGGCAGCGCCTGTCTTCTCCTCAGCCTTGGGGGAGAAAGAGCCCCTGCGCCATGGCTTCCATCTGCTCTCTCCCTGCACCCACACCCTTTTTTCTTTTTAAGTTAATATTTTTGGTATCGGATGATCATGAATTACGGGTTCCCAGTCTCTTCTCAGTGCCTGCGCCACTCCGGAGCCAGCCCGGGCTTGAGGGTCCAATCAGAAGACTCCTGGTTCTCTGGACGCTGCTCTGGTGCTGGGCACTCAGAGTCACCCCGAGGGCCTTGGATCTACACGCACAGGACTAGGCCCCGACTCCAGCTACCCACCCTGGGTGTTAGCAGACCCACTGGCTCCAACACGACTCCCCATGGGGACCATTCCATTCCATTCCATCTTCTAGGCAGTAGTCAGTGTCGGGAAGCTTGTTTGCACCTTTCTCATTTTTTTTTTGCACCTTTCTCATTTTTGATCCAACAGATTTTATAACTTCTAATATCCCTCCAGTTTGCTTTTTCATAATCTCACACAAGGTCCAAGAGAACAGAGACCAGCGGTGCCACTCAAGATGACATTTGCAGCCCCCTCCCCCACCCCCCCAGCTATCATTCCAGAGACCCCTAACAGGCAGTGGTTCTTTCCATGTTTCTCCTAACCCTGCAGTTCAGCAAGTAGATCCAGGGCATCCAACAGGGAGGGCTGAGTCCTGTGCTGAGAATCGTTCAGAATGGGGAAAGGGATCAGTCTAGGGCCTGACTATAGGGAGATGGACCCTGGGCTCTGCATGAACTGCCCCTTGAACAAATCCCTTCACCTCTTCCAGCCTCTATTTTTCCTTCTGTGAGATGGGATCACAAGAGGCACATCCATGGTGATTGAAAAGAGTGAGAGAGATGCGGTGTAAACAGATACTGTGCCACCCATCACAAACCAGACCATCATCAAGGACTCACCCCTCTCTCTAGGGGACCCACCCTTCTCTCTTGAGGACTCATCCATCTCTCTAGGGGACCCACCATTCTCTCTCTGGGGGACCCACCCCTCTCTGTCTAGAGGACCCATCCCTCTCTCTAGGGGACCCACCACTCTTGGTCTAGGAGACCCACCCCTATGGGACCCATCACTCTATGGGACACCCCCTCTACATAGGACACACTCCTCTCTCTAGGGGACTCACCACTCTCTTTCTATGGGTCTTGCTCCTCTCTCTATGTGACCCACCACTCTCTGTCTAGGGGATCCACCACTCTCTCTACGGACACATCCCTCTCTCTATGGGACCCACCACTCTCTCTCTACAGGACCCCCCTTCCTCTGCAGAGCAGAAAGAACTGTGGGATAAAAACCCTCTGCTCCCCTCATTGCCAGACTCCATACTGCAGTTCCACTCACCCACCAAGCAGAAGGTATTCGTCCCAGAAACAGCTCTGTGAATGCCACCCTCCCCACTCCCACCCCCCCAGAGACACACACAATAAGACCCAGGTTGTACTTACACAGCAGAACACCTTGGCAGCCATGTGCTGGTCGAACTGGCCCAGGATGATGCGGACGTCATTGCCCTGCAGACAGAAGGACAGGAAATGGACGTGAGCTGGGGACTGGCAGCCCCAGAGAGCAAGGCCAAGAGCAGAGAATACTCGTGCACACCGAGCTCGCCCAGCCCAGAGCTGTGCTGAGCAGGTGGTGGGGTAGAACCTCATCCCTCAAAGGACCTCACCCCTTGCCAGCCAGCGCAGCCTGAGCTCTGAGGACCTCATAGGGTTCCTTACGCACAGCCAGGAGTGACCCTGGAGTGCAGAGCCCTGAACTCCACAGGGTGTGGTCCAAAACAAACAAGCACTGTAGCACTGTCCTCCCACTGTTCATCAATTTGCTCAAGAGGGCACCAGTAACATCTCAATTGTGAGACTTGTTGTTACTGTTTTTGGCATACTGAATATGTCATGGGGAGCTTGCCGGGCTCTGCTGTGCAGGCGGGATACTCTCGGTAGCTTGCTGGGCTCTCCTAGAGGGACGGAGAGGGATGGAGGAATCGAACCCAGGTTGGCCGAGTGCAAGGCAAACACCTTACCTGCTGTGCTATGGCTCCCGCCCACAAAACAAACAAACAAATAAACAAACCGAAACAGTGTCTGCCCGAAGATCCCTCCTGGGTCAGGGTGAGGGGTCCCAGGTCACTTTCTAGGGTATGAGAGTCCAGGTTGAGCCCTGGCCACATGGAGAGAGTAGGTCATAGGCAGATGGGACCCAGTTGACTCTGGTCACGTGATGACTCCCCACCCCAGTCACTTCCGGTCCTTTGCACGGAGACTCAGCTGGCAGGTGGAGCCACCTTCCAGCGCTTTACCCCTCTCAAGCAGGCCTCGGGGCCCTTTGATGCATAAAGAAGATCAGCCTTTAGAGATCAGTTTTTAGCATCTTTCCAAATTGGAAAGTGCTGACTGAGAGACCATTTTACTCATCGTGTGCTTAAGCAAAATAAAAAAGCTTGGATTCTAAAATCATCCTTCTTTCGCAAGCAAGAATGGAAAGAAGAGGGGGAAAAACACTTTTCCCTAAAAGGACTTTAAAAGATCATTAGTGGAGCAGTGGCAGGCAGTGAGCCTTTGTCCTCAGCACGTCTGCATGGCTATAAAAAGTTCTAAGCTGCTTCCGTCCAGGGACAAGCTCTCAGCCGCATTCTGGGGTCTTTCTGCCTGTTGGCTGAAATCTCCTGACATTTCTTGCTGCTAACAGCAACCATCTAGCCTCAGCCCTGGCCACAGCCACATACACATCCTTCCATCCAACATTGATGGAGATTCAACTTTGTGCCAAGCCCTGGGTTGCTCAATAAAAAACATCTAATTGTTTCTTATTGGATTTTGGAGCCAGAAGGGCATCAGTTCAATTTCCAGCTCTATCACTGGCCAGCCACACCAGCCTGGGTCTTAATCTCTTGGGGCCTCAGTCTCCTCATCTTTGAAATGTCCTTCCCTTGTTACATTTCTTGAACTTGTGACAGTGCAACCTGTCCACTGGCTTCCATCAGGTGCCCTCCTTGCGCCTGGACATTCTTCTTTTGGTTCCAAATCAGCTTAATGGACTCAGTATCACTGTTCTAATCACAGTATTCCATGAAAATGAACTACCTACAATTCTGTAAAGCAGGGCTTCCATTTATTCATTCATCTGTCTGCTCGTCCTCTCGTACATCCCTTTAACCACATGCCTCCAACCACTGACCCATCCACCCACCATCCATCCATCTATCCCTCCCTCCATCTACTTCCATCTATCCATACATACATCCATCCACCCACCATCCATCCATCTATTCATCAACCCACCACCCACCCACTCACCATCCATCCCTCCCTCCCTCCATCCATCTCCATCCACCTCCATTCGTCCAATTGCCTCCATCCATCCATCTATCCATCCATCCACCATCCATCCACCTATCCATACACCCACCTACCATCCATCCATCCACCCCTCCCTCCATCCACATCCATCCATCCATCCATCCACCATCATCCACCTATCCATATACCCACCCACCATCCATCCATCCAAACATTCAAATATCACCCTCCCTCCCTTCCTTCCTCTCATTCCTTTCCCACTCCATCCTCTCTTTGTTCTTCAAGCTCATTCATCTAAGATGCCCCTTTCCATACCACACAGGCTCTGTTTGGAGAGCAGGTCCCCACTTTTGTGTCTGAGCTTTGGTGGTCCTGCTCTAGAGGCCTCCTGAGGCCCCTTGGTGGCCCAGCTTCCCTCAAGTGTGGTACAATTCCACCAACTTGTTTAACTTCTCTGTCAGTCTGAGGGAAACTTGGTTCACCTTCAGCTCCCCGGTTCCCTCACAGGGCAAGGCACACACAGCGATGAACTGAGACAGCATGAAGCACCAGCACGAAGCTGCCTGGCCCTCACTCTCTCCACAATCCTCACTGTACTTGCGTCCTGCCAGGCTAGGACCACTGAACTGAAGGGGTCCACCACATCCAGTTCTCAAGTGGATTCAGGCTCTCCATCTTTGTGACTGACCACAGGTCAACAGCTGACGGATAAATAACCAGCACTGCCTTTTGCAGACCGCTAGGTTGCCATGACAACCAAGTTACCAAGCCCGTTTGGGTCTTTGCATGTAGACTGCTAGGATCAGATAGGGCTGAAGACATCACAGATGAAGCGGTCCCCTCCCAGAGAGACAAAGACCTCCCCCGAAGACGATCAGGACCTCAGAATCTACGTTCTCACCTTGGCGCCACCCCCCACCCCCCCGGACTGTCAAAGGGCCTCTCCATCCAGAGCTGGGCTATGTCTGATAAAGGACCCATCCCCACCCTCTCTGCTTTTGAGTGTGGGGGAGGGGCTAGGTCTGGGGGGTGGGGCTAGAATGCAGTGGGAGAGGACACAGGGAGGTGCTGCCGGACTGTCCAGGCTTTTCTGCGGGCTGCCAGCGCAGTGCTAGGAGCTTGAGGCATTCCTTAAGACCATACCTGAGCACTCCCAGGGAGCCGGGACTCTAAGAGCATAAGAGGCAAGGTGGGTGCTATTTCCTTCTGGAGTTACAGACTCGGGAAAGGAGGTGAGGGGGCAGCTTGGATTTGGGAAGCTTAACTGTCAAAAGTGTGAATTTCCACAAAGAATCCATAATCACACTTTTCTGTGCGGTGTAACATGTATGCCTAGAGAGTGGAAGGCAGTTTGGGGCTGGCAGCGTTTCCTGCTTCTGGCCAACACCCCACCTCCTGCCAGGACCTGAGTCCTCTCCCCACTGGGATGGAAAGGTTGGGAATGTCCAGATGAAGGGTCCAGTGCCAAACAGTCTTCAGATGAGGGATGGAGTAGACCTGGGGCTGGAGACCCGGGGAGCAGGAGAAAAACAGAGGCTTCACTCTGCTTCCGACCCCCAGAGCTGACTGCAAGGGACCCCCAGGACTGACTGCATAGAACCCCAAAGCTAACTACATGGGACCCCAAAAGTAACTGTATGGGACCTCAGAACTGACTGCATGGACCAAGGACTGACCACATGGACCCCCCAGAATTGACCACATGAACTCCCGGAACTGACTCAGCCGCACTAAGGTCAGGTGACAAGGCTAAGGCTGCAGGCATAGGGCAGACCCTGGCCCACAACTCAGGGGCCCCACCCATGGGGAGGGGCAAAATGACAGAAAGGCCATGGGGTGGCAGGAAGGCAGGATGCCCACAGAGCTGTCTGCAAATCTGGGAGGAGCCCAAGGACACCCTGACCTTGGGTGGTTTTCTTTCTAGGCCCCTTTCATTTGTTGTCTGAAATCCCTGTGCCACTGGGAGCCTTAAAGAGAGTGAAAACCAAACACACACATTCATAAACATGCACACACACAACACACATGAACACAGACACACACACAGGCACGGGGCCACACAGCAACACACACTCAAACATATCGACACCCACTCATAAACATGCACACAGACACACAAAGTCACAGACTTACACAGATATAAACACATTCATATACACACTCTCATACACATGCACACGGACACACAGCAACATATACAGAGACACATAATTATATAGTCACAAACACATACATACGCACACAGATACACATAGACACACACAGAAACACACCTAGCAACCTCCTCCCAGATTTGCAGACAGCTCTGTGGGCGAATTTACACCCACAGAAACACATCTAGCAACACACACCCTTGCATATAAATACACACAGACACATACACATGCATGCACATATACAGATATACACACATATACACATACACTAAGACACACATACACATACAGACATATACCCACTCACATAGAAATATGCACACATATTAACACACACGTATATACAGATACACATAAACACACACTTCCACAGGACGTGTATACACATACATACACATGCACACACATGCACACATATACACACATCACACAGACAGACATACACCCACTCACACATACACACATGACACTTAAGGTTGACTCAGTTCAAAGAACTGGAGCATACCCCTGATTGCAGGGGCTCCTGATAAACTCAGAATAAGTAATTCCTTGGGGTGGGGGCGGGCTCCAAGAGCTAGGGCGCAGACTTTGCATGCGGGCAGCCCAGGCCTAAACCCTGGCAGGATCCCCCTCCCCCAGGAGGGCCCTCCCAGCCCCAAAGTGAATGAGCAGATCATGCCCCAGCTCCTTCTAGGCTCTCTGCTTGGTGGCCCTGCCCCTGCCCCAGCAGGCTGTGCTGTTTCTGTGCCCACTCTGGCCAGTTCCCCGAGACTTAGAGGCTTTCCCAAGTCCAGCAGACACCACTGCTCCTGCCTGAAACCCCCACTTTGGGGCTAGCACCCCCATGCTGACTGCCCCTAGGGGGCTGCCTCGAGCTCACGGCCTCCCTGGAGAAAGAACCGCTCTCAGCAGAGGGGCCCCACCAAGGCCCTGTGTGCGCCCACCCGCCACCCCCCGCCCCTGCAGCCAGTCACTGTGTCTTGGGGACAAGCACCAGAGGGGAACTGGCCTTTGGGGAGTGTGGACAGCCTCCAGCCGCAAGGGCATCGTGTCCTT